TTTTTTAAATTGTAGATCTCACCTGCGGACATAAAGTGAGAGTACTTTCTGATATATTAATAAAGTTCAACTAAATTTTTTTTTTATTTTTAATTTTGCAAAAAAACGTTTTTTGCCCATAACATTAAAAAAATGTTTGGACACCTATAAATGTTTTTCCATAATTTTGTAGAGTTTTTTAGACGCATCTTTTGAGCCCTAATTGAACATTTTTTGTCCATATTAACCGGAGTTATTAAACTTTTAGAAATCAAAAATTTTGGAAAATAAGACTTTTTTGAAAATTTTGTTGAAAAACGTAGAAGTAACTTTAAAATTATCGTTATCAACTTGTAAAGCATTAAAAAACGCTTCGATTGACCTATTTTTGAACCTAAATTCGAAAATAAATTTCGAAATTATTGGTATTTTAAAAACCAAAAATTGTGAAAAATGACATTTTCTTAACTTTTTTGTTTGAAAATTTTTATTTAACTATTAAATTATTGTAACTATCTTGTAGGGTATTTAAAAATACATTCATTGACTCAAAATTCAATCATTTTTACCATATTTATAAAAAGTTATTTATATATTTCTATTATTTTTATCTCCGTGATGAAGTAAAGTGTTCATGAGGGACGCATGAATATTCCCCACATTGAACTTCCAACAATTTTTGTGGTATCGAAATAAGAAACTTAAAATATCTAATTATTAGAACTGCAATAATTCGAGTTTTCTTTTAAACAAATTTTTGTCACAAGAAATTAGTAATTGAAGAAATATTTATTTTAACTACTTTTTTTATTTGACTGTATTTTAATTTATAAGAATATCCATGTAAAGAAATATGAAAGAATAGAACATTTAGTTGTTCAGAGTTTTTTATAGTATTTATTTTAAAAAATAAAAATTTTGCTTAAATGAAATTTTAAGTACATAAAAGTTTATATAAAAGGATTATAACCTAAAAAATTTGTCAATTATCAGAATTTTTATATCGTAGTATTTCTATATTATCGAATTTTTATGTAACGTAAAATATATGTAATCGAGTTATAATCTCACAGAATGTATATTTAACATAATTTTGATGTACAACTATTTATATTTAGTTCAAATTATATTTAAAATAATTGTTATTTAATCAAATTTTTATAAAACCATATCTGTAGTTAATCGAATTTTCGTATGAGTGAATATTCAAAACACCGAACTTATAAAAGATTGAATTTTTAAAACGTCGAATTTCTAAAGCACTAAACTTTCAGTGTCGAATTTGCATCTGTCCTAACTTTTTGTCACTATAGAGTTTACTATCTATGTTTTTAGTCGGTAAGGTAGATTAAAATTGCACGCGAAATTTGATTTGACATATAATTTCAAATTTCCCGCACAATTTAAATCAACCATATCAATAAGAATTATAGAGAGGAAACTCTTGTGGCAAAAAAAGTTAGGACAAATGAAAATTCGACATTCTAAAAGTTATATGCTTTGGAAATTCGACGTTTTGAAAATTCTATGTTTTATAAATTTGGTACTTTGGAAATTCACTCATACGAAAATTCGGTTAACTACAGATATAGTTTTATAAAAATTTGATTAAATAAAAATTATTTTAAATATAAATTCTGTGAGATTATAACTCGATTACATATATTTTACGTTACATAAAAATTCGATAATATAGAAATACTACGATATAAAATTTCTGATAATTGACAAATTTTTTAGATTATAATCCTTTTAAATAAACTTTTATGTACTTAAAATTTCATTTAAGCAAAATTTTTATTTTTTTAAATATACATACTATAAAAAACTCTGAACAACTAAATATTCTATTCTTTCATATTTCCCTACATGGATATTTTTATAAATTAAAATACAGTCAAATGACAAAAGTAGTTAATAAATATTTCTTTAAATACTAATTTCTTGTGACAAAAATTTGTTTAAAAGAAAACTGGAAATATTGCAGTTCTAATAAGTAGATATTTTAAGTTTTTTATTTCGATACATAAAAATTATTGCAAGTTTAATGTGGGGAATATTCATGCGTCCCGTTCATGAAATGAGCACCAAAATTATAAAAAAATATACAACTTGGCAGCGGTTTTTTATATTATTTTTCATCCAATATCTGCAACTCTTAACATAGCTGACTTTGAACCATTATGACGTCTCAGTTTTACAACACAAATTTTTTGCATGCCTGGTTAATGGAGTTTTGAATAATTTTTATTGAAAGTTTTGGAAAATGTTTATAATAATATAGATTATGTCTGTTATGTGCAAATTGATTGAAATTTTAGATTTAAAAGGATTTTTGAGCAACTTTTATCCTCTCACTTTTTTAAGTTTTACAACACAAATATTTTTAGTATCTGATTAAAATTTGTTCAAAAATAATTTTAAACCTAAAATTTCAATCAATATGCAAATAACAGACGTAATCTATATCATCATAACTATTTTTCAAACAACTTTAATTAAAAATTATTCAAAACTTCATTAACCACATATGGGAAAGATTTATGTTGTAAAATTGTAACGTCATAATGGTTCAAATGCCCTTAAAACAGGAGTACAGGTGATCGCGTTAGTCATTGTGCTGCAACGCCTGATTTACTTTAAACAATTGTTTGTAGTTACCTAGAGACCTTCTGGTTAGCATCAGAGCTGGATCTAATAGACCCAACAGTCTGGGAATAAAAAATAAAATAGTTTGCTACTTTTGGTACTTTTGATTTTCACTACATAGAAAAAACCTGAACTCATTTTTATTATTTATCATTTTAAGTTCTGTATCAACATGAATTAATAGTATACTTCAGGTTGTTCAAATTGAACCTGCAAGTGAGATTAGTTTTTAATAAAATGACTGATTTTACATTTTGGTGGTAACCATATAGGCAGTGTTATGTTCGCACAGTCATTAATTTTATATTTTAGTTTGTTTGCATTAAGAAAAGATGGACATTTTTAGTGGTAAATAAAAGTGAACCTTTTGAGACGGGAGTGAACATTTTTGTACTGGAAGTGGAGGAAAAAACCAGTATGGCGACGGAAGCCTAACAAAACTGTAAAAAAAACTCAGGCTCGTCTTTTCTTTACGATAATTCAAAGTATTTTCTCAATCATTTTTTATATAATCTAGTCGCGGTGGATCCTTAGTTTTTTTCGTGAAGCGGTGTGAGTGGGATATTTTCTCTAAAAAAATCCGCAAAGGATAAAAAGAAACTAAATAGTTTATTTCGTGTAGTTAGATGATGGATGAAGTGACGCTATAGAATATTCGAGAAACAATTTGTCGAACAATTTGTCACTTTGAGTTATCGGTCGGTAAGAAGACAGTGAGTTAATAGTTTTTACGAGTGAACACAGATGGAGGAACAGGACAAAAACAAATATCTCAAGGAAACGTTTGACGGGACCACTGGAGAGCAAAGTAAAGCCCTCGGATCCGCGGTTTTGATTGAAGATATGTCAACTCCTGTGTCATCTCTACGTCGTAGTGAAAGAACTACGAAAGGCGTTGAACCATCTCGTTTCGGATTTGAAACGTCGGTTAACCAAAAAGTGACTGAAGTGCAAGATAATGCATCTAGTCACAATGAAAGTGTAAAAAGCCAAACTTCGAAAACAACAAAAAGAAGTGGACAGTCATCGTTATCCAGTAGAAAGACGATGATTAAGCAAATGGAAATTAATTTTCGAAAAAAACAGGAACTTGCTCGTATAGAACAAGAAGAAGCCGAAAGAGATCGAGAGATTGCTCATCAAAAGGCCGAGCGTAAAAGAAATCTCGTCGAGTTAAAAGCACGATTAGAAGAGGTTATGTTGACACAAGAAATAAATCGTGAACGACGATCTCGTGCTAGTGTTCAAAGTATTGATCCCTCAAGCAGATCAAATCCGTCTATAATTTCGGAATGTTCAAGTCGCAATAAAGTCGAAAATTGGCTGCAGAAGGAAAAATTATTAAGTGGCAACAAATGTGTCTCTGATAATTATCGAGGACCAAAATATTGTGCGGGATTACCGATTCCGTTTACAACTATTTTAAATAAACAAGACGTAAAGCAAGACATTAAACAAGACGTAAAGCCTCCAGTTTATAAAAAACCGACGGACGTTTTAAAAGAATATTTACCCAAAAGAGAAGTTCTAAGTGTACCGGATAAATACATGGCAAGACAAACTTTAGGCAGAGACCTGCCAGAGTTTAATGGTAGTGCCGCGAGTTAGGTTTTGTTTATTAGTATGTTTCGACAAACAACAGAAGCTTGTAGATTCACAGATACGGAAAATATGCTGCGACTCCAAAAGTGTTTAAAAGGTGATGCTCTCGAAGCGGTTAGAGCTTTAACAACAAGAAATGTCGAAAAGGTGATAAATATTCTTAAGCGACGATTCGGACGTGCGGACTTCATAATCGAGGACTTGATGAACAAAGTGTCAGGACAGTCGAATGTGAGAGAGGATAAACCTGTCACTTTAATTAATTTTTCGAACTCAGTGACAAATCTTGTGGCTACCATTGAATCATTAAATCGCCAATCATATTTAGTGAATCCTATTTTATTAAATCAGTTGGTAGGTAAGTTACCTCCTAGTGCGCGAATACGGTGAAGAAAGCTTATCGCTTACAGAGAAGATGTTGTTTATTTAAATGAGTTCGCGACTTGGATTAAAAATGAAGCAGCTGCGGCAAGTGTCATTTATTAACCCACATGTGATGAAAGAGAAAAGAAAGATAAACGTGTGCTGTCAATTCGCGAAGAAAATAATTCTGAAAAACCGCAGTGCATATTTTGTGAAAAATTTCATAAAACGGAGACGTGTGCGGGTTATCAAAAGTTGTCGGTTGATGATCGTTGGACGTTAGCTAAACGTAAATGTAATGTTATGGTTGCTTATTAACAAAACATGCCATTCGAAAGTGTTCGCGTCGCGTGTGTGGAAAAAATGGGTGTAAAATGAAACACCATCCTTCTTTGCACAACGACAAAATGAAGAAAATTGAAAACAAACGAAGTGAACCTGCTCCACAGGAATCCGAAAGTGACAAAGTGTCTGACAAGACTGAAAGTGATCAAGTAGCACAATACGTGCTTTCCACGCAAAAATCAAGAAAAAGTGTATTGCTACGAGTTTTACCAGTGACTTTGAAAGATCCTTCGGGAGAAATAAACATGTTCGCGATTCTAGATGGTGGATCAACAATTTCGTTAATAAACTCAAAGATTGCAGATAGACTAGGATTAAAAGGACCAGTAGAGCCATTAATCGCTACGTGGTATAACAATGAGAGTGTAAAAGAAGATCATTCAAGATTGGTCAGCGTCGAAATTTGTGGATCTTCTGGAAAAAAGTATTTACTTCAAGATGTTCAAATGACAAATGCTTTGAAATTACCGGAACAATCTATGAAAATCGATCCTGAAAAATGGCCTCATTTTAAGAACCTGGACATCCCTGACCTAGACAATGCTATACCCACAATCATGATTGGCGAGGACAACTTGCATCTGAAACGGATAATGCGACAGGTGACAGGTAAAAATGGTTTACCATATGCTTCTCTTACTCCGCTAGGATGGATGGTGCACGGACCATACGACGTTGGACGTGTTGACAAGACATATACATTTTTCATCCAAAAAAATGAAGACATCGAAATACATGACACGCTCAAAGAATTTTGGTCGACGGAATCTTTTGGAGTTAGACCTTCCGAAAAAATCTTGAGGTCAAAAGAAGAGCAAAGAGCACGTGACATACTGGATCAAACTACTCGTCGAATTGGAAATCGTTGGGAAGCAGGACTTTTGTGGAAAGAAGTCAATTGTGAATTACCTGAAAGTCGAAAAGCAGCGGAGAAGCGACTTCTTTCAATCGAGCAAAAAATGAAGCGTGATCCAAACTTCGGAGAGAAGTATGCAGCCAATATGCAGTCATACATAGAAAAAGGATATGCACGACGACTGACGGAAAAGGAAATAAACGAAGATAAAAACAAAGTTTGGTACTTACCACATTTTGCGGCAGTCAATCCTCAGAAGCCTAAAAAATTAAGAATGTTTTTTGTTGCGGCATCGAAAAGCCACGGGGAAAGCTTGAACGATCATCTTTTGAAAGGCCCGGATTTGCTGAATTCTCTGCCTGGAATTCTCTTTAAATTTCGAGAGAAAAAAGTGGCGATCGGAGGTGACTTAAAGGAAATGTTCCACCAGGTTCGGATTATAAAGGAAGATCGCTCCAGTCAACGGTTTCTTTGGAGAGATAAAGAAACCAAACAAATAGATACTTTGGAAATGAACGTTATGATATTCGGAGCTGTCTGCTCACCTTACACTGCCCACGAGGTGAGAAATCGAAACGCTCAAGAATTTCAGAAGATGTACCCGGATGCATGTAACGCAGTAGTGAATAAACACTACATGGACGATTACTACGATAGTGTTGACACGGTCGAAGAGGCAATTCAGCGAACAAAGGATGTCATCCATGTGCACCGGCAAGGAGGATTCGAAGTTCGAAATTGGACATCTAATTCGGAAGAAGTATTAAATAGCCTTGATCCATCAGTAATAGCACCAAAGGGAACCAGTCTTGTCTTGACAGGAGAAAATTATACTCGAGTGTTAGGAGTGAGGTGGTCTCCAGAAACTGACAGTTTCCTTTTTGTGATAGACTTTCCGAGAATAGATAAAGAATTATTTGAAGGAGCAAAACCTCCGACGAAACGAAAAGTTTTAAAATTTCTAATGTCTCTTTTTGATCCTTTAGGACTCTTAGCTATATGGACCATCCAAGCCAAGATGATCATGCAGGATATTTTGCGCTTTGGTCCTGGTTGGGACGAAGAACTTCCTGATGACCTGAAAGAAAAATGGTTTTCATGGTTGAAGGACATTAGAGATGCTCAGAGCCTACGGATACCGCGCTGCTACTCTGGAGATCTGGATCGAGTTCGAGATATTCAACTGCACATCTTTGCTGATGCCAGCACGCAAGCGATGTCGGCGGTGGCTTATTTTCGACTGGAGGGAGATTCTGGGATTAGGACAGTGCTCGTGATTGCCAAAACTAGAGTCGCTCCTATCAAGATTCTAACAGTTCCTCGGTTAGAGTTACAGGCGGTGATGGCTGTCAGGATGGCTCCTTTCATTTCGCAAAAATAGCTTGAAGATCTCGCGTACGGTATTCTGGACTGATTCGCGAACAGTTCTGGCTTGGATTCATTCTGAGGCACGAAAATACCACCCTTTAGTCGCAGCTCGAATAGCTGAAATTTCGGATTCATCAACTCTTTCGGATTGGAAATGGGTACCTACAAAGGAGAACACAGCTGACGATGCAACAAGAACTACTCATCAAGAAAAGTTAAGTGAATCAAGTCGTTAGTTCAACGGACCTTCATTTCTTTCCAAACCGGAAGAAGAGTGGCCAATTGACAAAAAAGATGAAAGAAAAATTAACCAAGATTGCATGGAATTGAAAAAAGAATTCTGTTTCCTGACAACTGCCACTGTGGGATTGATTGATGCTACGAGGTTCTCATCTTGGATTAAACTTCTTCGCGTTATGGCTTGGGTGCAACGATTCGTAAATTGTTGCAAGAAAACAATCGAGAAAAATAATAAGGTGTGGGAGTTAAGATTTCCAGAAATCCAGACAGCAGAATACCGAATTCTGCAAAAATCTCAAAGGGAATCTTTTCCTAAAGAATATCGAATTTTGGAAAGTAGGAGAAAACTTCAAACATCTTCCAAGATATTTAAACTTACTCCAGTCTTTGTCAACGGACTTCTAAGATTGCATGGTCGTATAGAGAAAAACAAAGACATTGGTCAGAGCGCTTTGGAACCAATCATCCTGGATGGCAAGAACTTTATCACTGAAATGTTGATTCAGCGTTATCATCTCAGAGCTAATCACAATGGAAGAGAACGTGTGATAAATGATTTGCGAGGGAAATATTGGATCATTGACATTCGAGCAGCCGTAAAACGTGCCTGGAAAAAATGCCTTGAATGTCAAGAAAGAAGAGCGCAACCAGCAGTACCACGAATGGCACCATTGCCTACACCCAGAATTCAACGAAATATCAGGCCCTTCACCAACATAGGGGTAGACTATTTTGGTCCAATGCTCGTCGCCATTGGTCGCCGTCACGAGAAAAGGTATGGCGTTCTATTTACGTGTTTGGCTACTCGAGCTATTCACCTGGAGATTGCTTCATCTCTCACCATAGATTCGACAATTATGGCTCTTCGTCGCATGATGGCTCGGCGAGGTCAACCAGAACGAATTTATTCGGATAATGGGACAAATCTGCGAGGTGCTTCAGAAGAGTTACGAAAAGCAGTTAAAGAATTGGACCACAACGAAATACTACGTGAAACATCATCGAAAGGTATCGAGTGGCACTTTATTCCCCCGTCAAGCCCGCATATGGGCGGCTGTTAGGAGAGATTAATCGGTGCTGTGAAGAAAGGTTTGTCAACAACACTGCAAGAGAGAATTCCGAAAGAAGAAGTCTTACAAACGTTGATGACAGAAGCGGAGTACTCAGCCAACTCTCGACCTTTGACCTACATATCGGATGATCCGGACGACGACAGAAGTTTTACTCCAAATGATTTTCTACAAATAACACCAGGCGGATCACAGCTGAACCACGAACCACCAGGAGTATTTTCCGACGGAGATATGCTTCGTAAACAGTGGCGACAATCCCAATTTTAAGCTGATCAATTCTGGCGGCGTTGGGTAAAAGAATATCTTCTAACGATCAATCTACGAAGTAAGTGGCATCAGGAACAACGAAATATCGAAGTAAACGACGTTGTTATTATTTAAGATGACAATATGCCTAGAAACAAATGGAGACCAGGCAGAATTATTGCAGTTTATCCAGGGAAGGACGATCGCGTCAGAGTTGCAGACGTCAAGACAGCTACCGGGATTTTACGAAGACCTGTAGCGAAACTGTGCTCACTCAACGTTTATTAGTGTATTTCCATTTATTGAAAATACAGGAGGGAGTATGTTATGTTCGCACAGTCATTAATTTTATATTTTAGTTTGTTTGCATTAAGAAAAGATGTACATTTTTAGTGGTAAATAAAAGTGCGGGTTCTTGGACCTTTTGAGACGGGAGTGAACATTTTTGTACTGGAAGTGGAGGAAAAAAACCAGTATGGCGACGGAAGCCTAACAAAACTGTAAAAAAAACTCACGCTCGTCTTTTCTTTAGGATAATTCAAAGTTTTTGCTCAATCATTTTTTATATAATCAGTTACATAATAATTACCTTTCATTAATAAAACCTGTAACATTTTAAATCAAAATAAATAAATTCATAACAAATCATAACTATCATCATTCCGAGTTTAACCATAAAAATCACAGGCAGCATACTTTATTTATACGTTTTTATATTTTGCGCTACAACGTTTAGTTTTTAGATGGTCGGTGCCATTAACTGTCAATTGACAAGCCAGATCCAGAAGATTTTTCTTCACAGATAAGTGTACAGTAGGTTTCAATTATGCCTTCTTAGTTTGAACGTGTCGCACTTATATGTTTCCATGGGAACATATGAGTGCGACACGTTTATACTAGGAAACTAGGAAGGCATTTTTGCAACCTACTGTACCAACAAGATTCTTTCAACTACTTTTTGATGGTTAATATACAAATTTTTAAAAAATTTAAATCTGATAAATTTTTTTAGTGTGTATAAAATTAGAATATAGTAGAAAAATTTTTGATTGCTATTTAATGAAATATTTTTAATTAATGAATTAAATACATAATTAATGTTAACTAATGTCGATAAAAAACTTCTATAGTTATAGCTTTTATGAAGTGGGAAATCTAGACTAGTTGAAAATACTTTATTTTGTTATTGAATATTTTTCTTGCTTTTGTAGGTATATGAAAGCTATTACAATTCAGAAAAAGCATGATTACGAATCATCGACGTAAAGTCATTAATGAAATGTCCAACAGTTGTGCCACTGATTAATCGTCAGTTTATCAGTGCCGCGTGATCTTTGTTTAATTTAATTGCTATCATCGAAAGGATCGGTGCCTCACAACTCCTCCCCTTCCTCCCTCTCTTTTCTTATTTTGCTCGCTACACACTGCTGGTTAATTAACGGAAGGTTGATAAAAACAGGAAGGATAAAAGGCTTCAGTTAGTAAATAAACTCGTAACTCGTTAAAAAATTCTACAATGCATAAAAACTTTATTATCAAAACTTTTCGTTCGTAACAAAACAAACAACAAAATTGGTTTTATTAGTGCTACAACTTTTTTTTTAAAAAATCAAATTAATTCTTTTTTTGCGTTCATCAAACGAATTTTTATACAATTTTTTTTATGTTGGTAAAAAAATAAAATTTAAAATCGAACAGCTTTTTATCCAAATAGGTAGAAAAGATTACTGTATGAGAGTGATTTCCTGTTTCTGGATGACTATATGCAAGAACAAAGTATATATGTAAGTAATTAAAGAAGAGGGTTTAAAATTGACATTATGTACATCTAAGCAAAAGAAAATGAAGAAATAATATTATAGTGAATTGTTTATTTTGGTCTTGTGGTAATTTTATAGACATTTTTAACACTTAAAGCGACTATATAAATATAAATACGAACCAATATTGTAATATCTCAAATAAAGAATCGCGTTCGGCTTTTCGCTTGCAAATTTTTGTCTGTACGTCTGAGTGGGAGGCAATTGCAAAGCCGAGTGCGCAGATTTGCATTGCTTAACGGAAACAGTGAACTGCGTCAAGTATAGAGTCGAATAAATGAATTTAGATCATAAGCCGAGTCGAGAGTGCAGTTTAAAACCCCAGGGCCTAGAATCGCGTAGCAACGAGATCAGACCACACAATGGTCTTTCAAGGATGCAAATCCTTTTCTTCTACAATTCTATTTGGCCACCGATTTATTCACCTATTGATCAGATATAATTCTAGCTTTTCATAATTTTTTCACTCTTTGGATAATCCCAGTCAGAGAAGTCAGAGATGTGACGATGTTAACGACTAGCATGATACCGGCCCGGTGGCAAAGTCGGTCTTACATTGGCACTGGAAAAGTTGTACCAGGCTGGATGTTTAAGGGCATGAGAACAATTATGACTTCACAGTTTTACAGTGAGTAATTATTAATAGAACCAAAAATTAACAAAATACATATTTGGCTAGTCCGATATTTCAATTGATGGTTATAATTATAATAAAAATGTTAAATTGAACGGTATTTTAAAATTGATATGGCAGATAATAGGAAATCATGATTGAATTTTTTGCAAAAAAGTGTGGTGCGTCGTGTGTAACCCAAAAATAAAATATTTGCTTCTCGATCGAAGTGATGCATAAATGTGCCTCTACTTGGAAGATCCTGAATCAGGATCTCCCGGTGTTGAGATATTTTTGCGTTTTGTTTATCTATACGTGCCGATCTACAGACGTTTTGGTGAATTTGGCCTCGTATTCAAGTATAAGAGAGGTCCTTGCATCCTGATATACCTGACGAGAGAACTACTAGATATCCCTCCAAGGTAATATGCATTACCCTCTCCATGAATTATGGAGAGTCTCGGTGAAAAGACATTGTGAATTGATCTTTATGCAGTCGATAATATCGATATATATTTTCCTACGCCTGAGTTGCTGACCTACAATCTAGAACACGTATATATAGCCTTCTAAATCTCTCCAATATATATAATATATATATAATATTTTATGATTTAATTAAAATTATTATTAATATTCCTAAAAATATTAACATCGATTAACATCTATCCAAATATAGTTTGTAAGGTGGTATTGAAAATTATGGATAGATTTATCATCGTTTCTAGATACTTATTAAAGTGGGTAATTTCTGGGTGGTAAAAATTAAATTAAGATTGAGACTATCGCATAAATGATGTTGCACTTTCCAAATGAATTCATCTTGATGGGAAAATCGGATCCAGGTGTTGTCCTTCCATCCCTGCAAGGAAAATCTTAATCTCTTCATTGCATCATTTTTTCATGGAATATGAGAATAAATTGTATAACCTTGCGCGCATGTGCAAAAAACGAAAATTCCTCCCTCCTTCCACCCTCTTTCTTTCGACCCCACTTTTGGAATCAAGTTCAATTGTCTACG